GATACTGTAAAATCTCTAGTCAGAGGTGGTATTTGCTGGTTCTCTGAACTACTCAAAAATTCCACTATCGCTTCTGCAGAACTGGTCAGAACCTGCTGAATACCAACTCTGATTAAGATCCATAGTAAATAAGACTACAATACCAATTAAACTAATTAAGTGACTTAAATATATATTGATTAATTAAAATAGTAGCTCTGGCTAAGCAGTAATCATCTGAACCAAGACATCTCTAGGTTTAGAAAATACTTTTGATTTAACAATAGCTTAAGTTTAACAGAAAAGGGCTATTCCTTCTGCATCACTTAAGTTTTTCAAAAGTATCTGTCAATTGATTGTGATGATTGTACTCCCACACTGTGATGAATTTACACATACTTATACATCTAGAAACTCATTATACTATATATTTATGTGCAAATAAGATAGTGTAGCAATAAATGTACACATTTTGTATAAATTGTGATTTTTATACTATTAAGAGTACATTTGCTAATCAGTTAACAAACATTCTAATAAGCAATTGACTTTTTTCAGATTTAGATGGATACATATTTACATAAAATACATTAGAGATGTAGAATTGATTACTTAGTGACAAACCTTTATATTTCATTTTTACAAAAAAACTGGAAGGGATCAAACTAAATTATTATGAAACATAATATGGTTTTTACTAGGCATCATCTATGGTCAGTGATGATACTTTAGCTGCTATGAGTGTAGAAAATGAGCATAGATATTCATTTTTACTGATTATTTATAAAACATCTCCCCCACCCCCCAAAAGATTGTAGTATACTTTGGCTCCTTTTCAGTAATGATCCAATAACAAATAAAAAGAATCATAGCAACATAAGTAGAATGTCAACTGTACTACAGTCAGATGGCTATTTACAATCTTCCTAAATGCCAAAGGTCACTGAAATAAAATAGTTTTAAATAGTTGCAAGTCTGCAATGTAAGGATATTTGAGCAGCAGACAAATCTCTGGAGTAATCATGTTCTACAATATAGCCAATATAAGAAGTCTTGTCTCCTGGCCCCATTGTTCTTACCTTATATATTGGAAAATACCCCAAATGCATGGGCAGAACCATGCTTGCAACTCTATATTGGTAATGTTCAATATGAATTTGCTTTATCTCATTTGGTTTTTAATAATACTGGATCTGATGTGGCAGTGTTCCTAGAATTGCAGCTGTTATTAGAACAGCAGATTAAAAACTATTGCGGAGGCTTTTCCAGGCACTACCTGGAACAATAAGGTAATGAGCTCAATTTAACAGCCTCAAAACACCAATTATAGATCTGTTGAAATTGACATGTGACATGTCCTAGCTGTTACATATAAAATTAGGCATAATGAAGCCTCCCAATATCCCATGTTGAAACATTCAAGTGATTCAATTATTTAAATCCCATAGTCACGATAGGAACTATCCATTCAGGTAGAAACAGAACCTCTGGAAAATGATGCCTCTTACTTGCAACCCTTTCAATGTAGTCATATTATACCTGATCCTAGTGAAATTGCTTAGATATCCAATCCATGTCCGAATGAAATCCAGCTATCAGAATAACAAACACTGTTTCTATGCCTTGGCTATGTCAGTACACTTACTGAAAAGGATCGAAACAATCCATTTCTTCTAGAACTCGGAATCCCCACAATTTTCTCAAAACATTTTGTAATAAGGCAAGGATGGATATTTGAAAAAAAAATGTCAGATATGGATGGATTGAGATATGACTTCTTCAGGAGAATATACACTACTGCCTTTTTCAGCATTTATATTGTTTCCTAATTAAATATTAATCCATTTGATAAACTCCATAACTGATCAAAGGAACCCAAAAAGCTGTGGATCTACCCTGTGGAGTTCCAGTGCAGGATCCCTATACATTTCTTTAAGACTCCCCAACGTAAAATAAATAAATACAATGTCAACTTGCAAAGCATTCCTGGCCTGCTCTCGAGTTGCCATAGGCAAGGGGGATGGCAAAACGAACTTGCAGCTGCAGCGAGGCAGCACGTCAGTCAAAACAAAAGCACATTCCAGCCATATCTCTCAAGGCCGTCTGTGGAGTTACACACAGTGGCCAGAGGGGAGTGATCTCTACAACCCGCAAAATTGCTTCATTGGAGAATGTAACTGATAACATACCTTGCGGGGAGGGGAAAACAGGGTCAGAGCTGGACTGTACATTATGTGGTGTCAGAGTTGGCTTCACTTGGAATGTGCCAACATGAAGCTTTTAATAAATAACTGGATTTCTTTTGAAGCTTGGCTCGAGGTTCATGATTTAATTAGGGCATTGGTTGAAACTCTGACACACAGATTATATCAGAAGATGCCTTCCTATTCTTCCCAAACCAGAATAAAAAATGATTAACTTTATTTACAAATAATCCCATAATATATGTTCTGACTCAAAACTTTGTTCCAAGTAAACAAACAGAGATAAAAGCAAAACCTTTTAATGCTTCTCTGCGAATTTCATTCATTCACAGTTAAAAGGCTATTAGAACTAATTGTCTTGATAAGAACGAGCCTTGCCAAAGTTGTGCAAGGCTGCCAAAAGCACTAGATTAAGTTGCCAAGAAATATTCCAAACAAAAAGTCTTCAAATACAAACTAAGATAGTCCGAACTTCCACAAGGCTTGAAGTGCAAGAATTTCTTTGCTTCCTGAAAAGAATCTCAGTCTCCCAAGCTGGCTTTTATCTCTTAAGGGAGGAGCCATTACCTTGCAGCCTTACTCCTGAGTCACCCGTGCTGCTGCAGCTGCAGCTGCTCTTTCCTTCGAGCAGCCCTGTGTGTACATGCAGTGGGCACAGGGGTCTCAGGGCCCTCTGCATCTCTGCTTCCAGCCTCCACAATCTCTGAAGGCAGCATTCCACTCCCTGATAGTCCTGGCCCCATCCCTACATCACATGCAGGCCCCTCATCACAGTTCTCGCTCTCTGAGACTTCAGCCGTCCGCACCTGCTGCCAGCGAACCACAACAATATATCCTGACAGTCTGCCACCCTTTATCCTATGTATCCTTTCCTAAGGATCTGAGATATCTTAAATAAGGTTACTAGTCAGGAGTTCACAATTTACAAAACACGAAGAAAAGATGCTTATCATCAGTGGATAAACTTGATGGTAAGTTCATACTAAATTGAAATCATATTCACTTTTAATTTTAGGCCATCATAGTTTCTGGCTCTCTTTAGCAGCTTCATCTCATATAGCTCTTTAATAAATAAGGAACTGCTTCTGAAAGTCAACTGTGAAGATGAAAGCACTCTCATTCTGTGACCTCTGATTCAGAACTCAAAATGCAATTGCTTACCAAATTATTCTGAAAAAAAAATCCCCAAACATGTTTTGAAAATCTTCGCTGTCCATCATGAATTTTGGTCAGACCCCTCCCAAGAAATTTTGCAGTTCAAGGTGCCAAAAGAAAGTGACATTTTTATAGTGAAAAACATATACTAAAGTTCTCCATACTCAAGCTACACACCCAAGCAGCAGTCCATACCTAAGCGACACCTCCTCTAAAGTAAAGATTAGATTAGACATGTTTTGGTGTTCAGTGTGTATGTCATAGTTGCTATTATTTGTAACAAGTCTCGTTGTCATGGAGATCATGAACTTAGAATTCAGTCTATATTCAGAGCATGGAGATTTAAATTTCCCACAACAGGCAGGACTTAGGGGTTCTCATATTCATCCTGAAAGAAGTCCCAGGATAGCTGTTGGGCAGCTAGTTTGTAAGTAGGTCTGTACCACTCCCGGATTATCAATGGCTCAACTTAATACACAAGCACTCACAACTATAGTCTGCTGCAGTGCTACTAGTAACAATAAATGGTTCATCATCAACTACAGAAATTCACCCTTCAGCTCTTGACATCTTCTGTTGAAGATCTGAAGCACAGAAGGGCAGATTTCTGACTGGGTCAAATCACCATTGCTGCCCAACCGGATCTCAGTAATACATGCCATTATGCACACTCATCCCGTGCCACATTATGAATAACTGATTTTTTCACAGATACTTGACTCTTGCCAGTAGTGGTATGAATACAAGACCTGACAATTCAGCCCACAGCAAGAGTCACTGGCATAGCAGAATAAACATATATCTCCCCTTTATCCTGTAAAATATTACCCAATGTCCCTTCCTATACTATCTTCTGCCCATCAAAATCACAATTCCAAATTTGCTCCCAGCATCCTGGCTCAGTCTGTTTACTCACTCTGTAACAAACAGAAATTGTGACATTTCTCTGACATACTTTCTGTCTACAAGCCACACAGGAACAAGAGATTGCCTTCTGGTCTGTTCACATCTGAAAATATTTACAGTTCCACTCAGCTTCAAAGTTAAATTAAAATTAAATTCAAATTAAAACATGAACTTCCTACTCCTTGTACAGCTTCATCTTTTTTCTCAATCCAAGATGTCATCCCCTATCAGTCATTCTTCAGTTTGTATTTCTCTTCCAAAATTCTATCTGTATCCAGAATTTTCCTCACTACTAAGCTTTCCAACTCTCACCACTCTCTCTTCTATAAAACTAAGTCCATGTGTTCTCAAATTCTTTACTGCAAAAACTTTCCCCCAAAAGAGAAAGAAATCAATAGCAGACTTCCGGTTTGTTCATTGTCAGAGTCAGAGCAGAATCTGCGATCCTGTGTGGTTTTGCCCCGAGCTCACTTGCTGAAGGGTCCCAATTGGGACCAGAACCACCCTGGAGGGGTGATGAAGAAAGGGGAAATTGCCCAGAGGGTTGAGGGAAGCCTTAACTCCCTTCCCTGACAGGAAAAGCCCCTTCCAAAGGCAAGTTGCAGCAGTGGTTTAAAATGGCCACCATGAAGACGAAGAGCAGTCCAGGAAACTAAGACTGTGCTGGAGTGGAGAAGTAGCAAATGGAGTATGAACCAGCATAATGTGTGGATTTTAAGGTACCCCGGGATTAAAAAATAAAGGACTATTTTGGAAGAATGTGTGTGGAAGTGGTGACCAGAAAAAGTGAGAAGGAAATTGGATCTTATAAAATCGGCTTGAATTATTGTATTGGATTAACTTGGAGGAGAAAATTTAAAAGAAATATTTGAACACAACAAAGGCTTGGAAATTAAATTTGATAACTATTGGATTATTGCCACTTAAAGGACATAACTAAATGCTGGAATTCAGTGTGTGAAAAAGAAAAGAAATAATAGCTAATAATTGAAATTAGTGAACTTAATAAAAGTACTATATTTAACAAAGAAAGTAAAAGTAAAGGAAGGAGTGGATTGTGGAAAAGACTCAAGAGCATCACCTGATGGTACAGGAAAAATTTCAGTGACTCTTTAAAAAGTGCTTGGTCTTTCTAAGAAATTGGACTTTGGAATCTAAAAGAAAGTTAAAGAAACTCCATTATAATAAAATGAAAATTCTGGAAAGTCACATTAGAATATTATAAAGGGGAAGATACTTGATAATATTGTTGTAGAACCACCTGGTGATTGTGTGAAATAGGGCCAACTAAAAGACCTGGAAATAAAAACTTAAGGACATTGACTGTTGAAAATAAACTTAAAAGACATCTATTAAGGAAGAGGAAAGAAAAGGAAAAAAGGAGAAGATACAATGGAGGAATTATTTGTTGAAATAAGATTGGATCTGCAAGATATAAAGGAAAAAATGAAAATTAACTTGAAATGAGCAATGATTACAAAAACTAGAAATGGCGACCCAGCTTGTAGAAGAACAAAGAAAACCAGAAGGGGAGGAGTTTAACAAAAAAGAAATCAGCTTTGAAGAACAAAGAGGACAACAATTATTTAAGCAGTGGGAAAGGAATTAAAATTAAAAATATGTGGTCTGATGTGATAACAAAAGGGAAAATGGTTGAGAAAATGAAAAAAAGGAGAGGGGAAAAAGCAGAAAAGGGAAGTACAAAAGAAAAATCAGAAGAAGGAGGGAGATAAATTTAATAATTGGAATGAGAAATGGAGGGGAATAAGAATGGGGAAAAAAAAGAAAGGATCCTAAAATAAAGAGAAAGCAAACAAGGATGAAAAAGAATTATACTGCAAGGAGAGCGAGAGATAATGGGTGGGTAGGGGGAAAGGATAGGGAAAAAGATTCTGCAAGGTAATATATCATGACATATAAGAATAAATACTGAAAATAGATAAGAAGGTAACTGATATGGTTTTTAAAAAATTTTCTTTTTTCTGTTTCTTTCTATTTTTATTAAAGGATTATTGCTATATTTGATATGGAACTTAATGAAATAAATATGGAAATGGGAATTTATAACAAGAATATTGTATATTAATTGATGACTAGCGATGCATAAGAAAGAAAGTGAAGATGATGAAAAGAGAATTATTGTGGAAAGATTCATATCAGTTGCTATAATTAATTGAATATATTAATATCGTTGTAATGTGTAGATAACTTAGAAGGTGATTGATAAAATGTAATGCGGAATCTGACACTCTCTCTCTCTCTCTCTCTGTATGTATGTATGTATGTACCATATTTGCCGGCGTATAAGATGACTTTTTTGCCCTGAAAAACATGCCTCCAAGTGGGGGGGGGGTCGTCTTATACGCCGGCAAATACGTTGTTGTCACTCGGTGCAAGAGCGACGGGGGCAGAGCTCTGCAACTTGCGAAGCCCCTTCAAGCCCAGCCGGAGTCTCTCTTCCTCCTCCCCCCCACCCTCCGCCCGGCTCGGGGCGCTTGCGGAGGCCAATCTGGAGGTGGGGTGGGGGTGGAGTGGGAGGGTCTCTGGCAGGGCCGCTTCGCCCAGCCAGCACCGAGCCGCGTAATGGCCCGGGGAGTGGGGGGGAGAAGGTGGTGGAGGTGGACTGTGGCGCCCCTCCTTCTGGGCAGCAGGGCGGGGCCAGCAATTTGCTCCTCCCGCTTCTCCCTCCCTCTTTGAAAGACCGGGAGGGCTGTGCTTGGGGCAGGGGGGGTGTCCTCGGAAAGTTCCTGATGGGACCCCACTGGGTAGGGCCACCCAACTCCCGAGCTGCTTTCCAGGGTCCCCTTGGGAAGAAAAGAGTCCGGTGGGCGGTGGAAGAAGGCGAGGGACCTCCTCCCGCCCCCATCCCGTCCCGTCCCTCCTCTTGTCCCCTCCTCCCCTCCACGCTTAAGAGAGAAAGATCCGCCTCCCCGGCACCAAGCTGCCACCCAGTGCCGCGTCTCCCGGCCAGCGTGTGCTTGCGACTTGGGAACCGGCCAAGCGACTTTAAAACTGAGCGGAGGCCAGAGATAGCCGGAATTACCCTCCACACCACACACACACACACACAGAGAGAGAGAGAGGGAGGGAGAGAGTTGGCAGTTGTCCATCCCCCACCCTTGGGGAGTCGTCTTATACGGCGAGTATATAACAAACTCTATATTTTGAGTGGAAATGTTGCGGGCTCGTCTTATATGCCCAGTCATCTTAGACGCCGGCAAATACGGTATGTATGTATGTATGTATGTATGTATGTATATGTATATGTATGTATGTGTATATGTGTGTGTGTGTGTGTGTGTGTGTGTGTGTGTGTGTGTGTGTGATATATAGTAAATAGGGAGATTGGTATTAAGGTAGAATGAAGGTAGCTAGCTCGAATTACTAATGAAAGGGGACAAATTTGAATTAATAGAATAAGGACTGCAAAAATTGCAAATGTGACAGAAAAAGGTAATATGGGAAATGAATATAGAGAGATAAGAATTTTAGATAACATATGAGAATACCCTAAGAAAAATTAATTAAGTTATAATATGAACTGGAATTGGATAAAATAAGTTTAACATTTAATATTAATAAGGATAATGTGATATGAAATTGAATAAATAAAATGAATAGGTAACTATGGTCATGTGTGTATTGAGATGTGAAACCTGGAACCACACTGCTTGCCAAATGATAATTTTTTATTTAAAAAATAAAATTGGGGAGGAAATTGAATAATGAAACTATAAGGTATGCTTAACTGATCTGGTGACTGACATCAGGAGAAAATATTGAAATGTTGAAAATAAGCAATGAAGTTGTGACTTAATGTGAATATGTGTATTAAGAGATATTATTAATTCTGTTTATATGAAAATGTATGATACATTGATGCCACACTGTTAATGTACTGTTGTGTGTGTAGATTGAAATAAAAAAAAATGATTAAAAGAAAGTAAGAAATCAACAGCTTGTACAACTGCGTCATTTTTCATGGAGTGCTTCCCTGAGAAAAGGACGTTTGTGCTTACCTGACACACCCGTTCTCCTTGAGCTGCGAAGAGCATCCAGTAGTGGGAGGTGCTTTAGTCTCTGCTTATCTAGGCTGGGCTTAATTTGCGGAACGCTCCTCCTCTTCCTCCTCCACAGGACTCCTCCCGAGCATTCCCCAGTTTTGGTGAAGATGAGAGAAACAAACACCCTTGACCTTAACACTGTAAAAATTCATTGGCTGAAACATGATCCCATCAGACAGAAGAGGGTGGGGCTGGATGCTCTTTGCAGCTCAAGGAGAATGGGCGTGTCAGGTAAGCACCAACGCCCTTTCTCCCACGAGCTGCTCAGAGCATCCAGTAGTGGGACATGCCAACGCTTGGCCTGTCCTACGGGAGGGACTCTGTCTGTCTTGGGATCCCCTCCTGGTCCCTGTGGATCCATTGCAGAACCCTTCTGCCAAAGAAGGCCTCGGCTGATGCAAACACATCTATTTTATAATGCCTAATGAGGCGATGGAGAGGATCAGGTTGCGGCACAACAAATGTCAGTGATTGGTGCCTGCGTGGTCCATGCTGCCGATGTTGCGGCGCTCCTTGTTGAATGAGCTGTTATGCCCCTGGGCACCCGAAGTGCTTGAGTCTGATACGTTTTTGCTATTGCGGCCTGTAGCCAACGGCCTATTGTGGAGGATGCATCCCTGGTTGTTGGGCTGAAAAGACACAAATAAAGCCTCCATTTTTCTAAAACTCACCTCATGTCCAGCTGATGCCACTGTCGTTCCAGCCCTTGGGATGGCCTGGGACAAAAATTCGGAAGTATCAGTTCTTGTGCCCTGTGAAAGGCTGAATTAACTTTGGGTATGAACGTAGGATCGGGACGAAGGATGACCCTGTCGCAATGGAAGACGCAAAGATCTTGCCCCGATCGACAAGGCTGCCAGTTCTGAAATATGATGAGTGGAAGTGATCGCTACAAGAAAAACTACTTTATACATCAGAAATTGGAGACTTGATGATTGCAAGGGCTCGAAAGGGCACTTAGTGAGTGCAAGAAGGACCTTGTTAAGGTCCCAAGTGGGATAACGGTGAACCATTGGCGGGCATACGTTTGTGGCTCCTTGAAGGAAACACTGTATGCGTGGATGATGGGACAGGGATAGGAGACCTTCATAAGGGATAACTGATGCCAAGGCCACCACTTGTCTTTTCAACGTATTAGGTGATAATCCCTTGTCAAGCCCCTCTTGTAAGAACTCTAGGATCTGCACCACAGATGGAGAAATGGGATCAATTTGAGACAGTACACCATTTGTAGAAATTGGACCATGTGGCATTGTAGATGCGAGTTGTTGAGGGGCTTCTGGCAGCTTGGATAGCAGCGATAACTCTGTTGGAAAACTTTTCGCTCTTCAGATGACTCCGCTCAACCCCCAGATGGTCAGGTGCAACCATTAGGGGTCCGGATGTTGAAGGGGTCCTTGGGTTAACAAGACCCTGTCTGGCAGAATTCTCCATGGTGGTGATACAGATAGACTGCGGAGGTCTGCACACCATGACCGTCTGGGCCAGTAGGGAGCTACTAGAAGCAGTGCCGCCCTCTCATCAAGCAGCTTTTGGATGACCTTGGGGATCAGTGGAATGGGCGGGAATGCATACAAAAGCCCCAGGGGCCAACGGCAATGGAGCGCATTGAAATTCTCCGCTCCTTGTGAGGAGTATCTGGAAAGAAATCTCGGGAGCTGAGCATTGAGGGGGGAAGCAAACAAGTCTACTACTGGCTGCTCAAATGTCCTGACCGCCTCTTGAAAGAGGGTCAGATGGAGGCGCCACTCCGATGGATCTATCTTGGCTGGCCCTGCTTAGCCAATCTGCTTGTGTATTCGACAGTCCTGAAATGTGTTCTGCTCTGGTGGAAATCAGGTTGGTCTCTGCCCAATGACACAAATGCTCCGCTTCTCGCATGAGGTGTTTCGACTGAGTGCCCCCGTTTGTTTATATGAGCTTTCGTGGTTACGTTGTTGGTCAATATTAATATGTGTTGATTGCATACCTGTGGAAGGAAGCTGTGGAGAGCCAGGTGTACTGCTCAAAGCTCTAGCCAGTTTATGCTGCGCTATTGTTCTATGGAGGACCAATGGCCTTGGGCTGTGAGCGATTGAAAGTGAGCTCCCCATCCAATCAGGCTGGTATCGGTGGTGATGGTAAGTCTGTGGGCTCTTTGAATAGGCAACCTTTGTTTATGGCTGGTCTGGTCCACCAGAGGAAAGATATGAGGACCTGTGATGGAACTTTGACCTTGTATTTGGAGTTGCTTCAGCTGGATCGCTGGTACGGGAGAAGGACCAACTGGATGGATCTAGTGTGGAGCCGGGCCCAAGGAATAATAGATATATATGAGATCATCTTGCCTAACAATTTTGATAAATCAGCTAGGGACACCCTCCTGCGAACCCTGACTTTAACTAATTGATGAATGCTGTTTTGTCTATCTGGTGACAAGAAAACTTTGCCTTCTACTGTATTTATGACTGCCCCCAGATGGATTAATCGAGTCGAAGGCATTAAATGACTCTTTTCCCAATTGATTGAGAACCCGTGTAGTTGTAGGGAGTGTAATGTGGTCTGAGTATCTATGACTGATTGATGAACAGAAGATGACAGAATTAAGATATCATTGAGGTAACACTGCAGTTGTATGGGGACACCCCAGAGATGAGCAGCGAGGGCTGTGAGAACCTTTGTGAAGGTCCTAGGGGCAGAGGCTAGTCCGAAGGGAAGAGCCACATATTCAAAATGGAATTATAACAGAATCTTAAAAATTTATAGTGGGAAGGCCGAATTGGAATATGTAAGTACACCTCCATCAGATCTATAGATGTAAGGACGTCACCTTTTCTGATACCAAGTAAGATATATTGTAGGGTGTGCATTTTAAATTTGCGATATACTAAAAATTGATTAAGGCGTTTCAAATCCAAGATTGCTCTCTCCCCCCCCCCTGAACTTTTGGGAACAACGAAAAGATGTGAATAGAAACCTCGCCCTCGTTGGTCGGTAGCTACTGGTTGGATGGCTCGTATGTCCAGTAAGTGCTGAATAGCTGTTTCCATAAGATTTTGTTTAACCGGATCTCTAGAAAGAGGGCACGACATAAAGAAGTCTGGGGGAGCAGATTGAAATTCCAGCGCGAGGCCGAATCTGACCATGTCTCTGACCCAGGAATCAGACATTGAGGAGCCCCATTGGTCCGTGAATAATTTAAGGCGTCTGCCAATGGGAGCCGGGTCCATGGGGTTATCTTGGACGCCGGAAAAATCTATTTCCTGCTCCTCGGAAGGATTTCTTGGGTTGGTCACCCCTTCTATACCTATCCCCAAAGTCTGACCTCTCTGGATGTTGCTCTGGTTGGAAAGGTGGAGATCTCTGGTATCTGGTTGAGAACGGTCCCTGACAAAAGGGCCGAAAGGTTCCCCTCCAAAAGGACCGACGGTTTCTAGGGTCTGACCTCCAAAAAAGGGAGGGTAAATTTTTTATTTTATTTTGAGTCTCAATGAGTAGCGGACCGAGGGAAGGGCTAAACAGTCTGTCTCCTGCTAGAGGAGATGAAGCGAGCTTGCATTTATGTTTAATGTCCGCTTGCCAGTTCTTTAACCATAGCAAGCGTCGCGCTGTGACATGTGAAGTGATGGCTCTGGCTGAAAACTTAACTGCATGAAAGGTTGTATCAGCTGAGAATTCGGCGGCTGCTATCAGCTTTGCAGTGTCTTGGTGTGTTCTAGTATTGGAATTGGGGACATGCTCCCGTAATAGCCAGAGCCATCTGAGGGAAGAATGGGTAAAGAAGGAAGCAGCCGTGGCTGCTCTGATGGCCCATGCATCAGACTGATGGGCCCTGCATAGGGCTAGCTCGGCCCATTTGTCCTCCGGCTTTAATGCCTCCAGTGCCTCACTGGGAATGGAGGATGAGGACGCTAATCCCACAATGGGTTCATCTACCTCAGGAGTATTCAACAATTTTAAGAAATCTGGGGCCAAATTAAAGAATTTCCTGTCGTAACCAGTGGGGGCCGGGTACACTGCTGCAGAAGCCCAATGTTTCTGTACCAGGTCTGCAAACATGTGGGGGACTGGAATCACGTCTGCCTCAACAACAGGTTGGGTGAAAATGAGATCCTCTAGTCCCTCATCTGATGGAGTTGGAGTGGTAGAAGGGGCTGGCTTGTCCAGTTGTGCAGTATTTTTGGCCTGGAACAATAGAGAT